AATGGCGTTAAGAATTACCTCCAGTTTTAACTTTGGTTAAGAGAAGTAAATATATTTTAACTTGACATGCACTGTGATATGAGCAGTCGTTCGATATGTGTTTGATACAAAAATCAAGATTTTTTTGGTGTGAATTGATTTTGTTTTGTTGTGATCATGTGGTATACAGTTGGCAATTGTGATAGTGAAATATTTAGTATTATCCTATAGCCACTGTACATTTAATACGTTTCTGAAGTAGATAATGATTATTATAAGACTCGGAAATTTTCTACTGCTCTAAGTATATTTTTTGTCCGATAATGTTATGCAACCGTCTTCGGCTTCACAGGGAGTCGCTCAACGACCGGGGCTAGCTTTGAGTTAATACAATAAATTTTTGATGCCTGTGAGTATTAATACGACGTTTAAGATATTTTCGGTGACCTATCTAAGGCTTTTGATTGGGTTTTTCTTGAAACAATTAATAAAAAGCTCTACTAATATTTAAAGATAACTAATCCAATGAGTTTTCCGTGGAATTATTGTCTCATATTTGAATAACAGAGCGCAGACTGTTGACATCAATTGCAAGACTTCCCGGCTTCAATAGTTAAGATGGGTGTTCCACAAGGCTCTATCCTTGGTCGTTTCTTGTTTTTGATTTTTATAAATGACTTGCCCTATTTTTAAGAGATAATCACTTAATATTGAATGTGAATTCATAAAATTATTTTCATGTATGATTACTTATATTTTTAATGTAAATTTTTAATGGTTTTTGTAAATGTCGTTACTTCTGTTAGAGCTGGTGAATTTCTGTCGCTTGATGTTCTTATCAGCCAAAATGCTTCCTGATCAGGATTAAAGCGCTTGCAACACTACCGAAACATCAGGGATTCACAAAGTAGATGGTAGTAATGGATATAGAAGCATAAATTGCTATCAAATTAATAACATATTATATTCATTCTCTATTGTAGATTCCATACTGTAATAGCAATTTTCAATCATTTAACGCAACTGCAATCTTGTATTACACGAACCTAATTGCCCAAAAGTACAGACTTTAGAGAAAATCCAAAATTACAAGCTATCAAACGAAAATAGATTGTTTTAACCAGACGATACAGTATAGTTATGAATCTTCTTTTAATGACACATTAACATCTCGATAAACTTTATGCAGTGAGGTATTGGCGCCAGCAGCGGCCCATTCGCTTGATGAATACATCATACTGATTTATCGACGACTTTACTGACTTTACAAATAATATAACATTTTAACAACCACTGACTTGTTTAGGCACCTGCAACAAATCGCGTTTTATTAGATTAAATTTTATAGATTCAAAAGGAGAGAAAATTTTAATTGTCATTTCTCTGAATACCGGTATTGTTGAAACTTTCATTTAACTAACATGGCCAGTTTGTATCGGTCAAATGTAAAAGCTAGCTCAATTTGATCCATTTCCCGATTTTTGATGGAGCTAAATTTCGCATACACATATTATAACTTTATACAATTACACATACACACACATATACAATATCAATATGGAATGTTCTGATATTGGAGCCGAAAAGTGACCTTGTAAATGAAGATCCTCATCGAGATTAGGTTCATTTTATGTATCTGTACATGATAAGGGGGCGTCCATAAATTACGTGAGGTGTTTTTTCAAATTTTCTGACCCTCCCTCCCCCCCTGGTGACATGTCGTGAGATTTTATACAATCCCCTCCCCCATCCCCAAATCTCACGTGAGATTTTTCAAAATGTGGGTTTCTTATTTAAACACGTTGAAATTTTTTAATAAAAAGAAAAAAAAATAATTCGCTTCGTACTTCTTATTTACGACTAGTTAGAGACTAGTAATCAATATTGCTCTCATTCATCGAGTCACATGTTCAGCTGACAGTGGCGCGAAAACAAAGGACGAGCTACATTGTACCGTAAATTCAAATTAAATTGAGCTATTTGGTATAAAACGAGTATAGTGGTTTGACAATCAGGAGTGATGTATAATGTCAAAGTACGAATGAAATTATTTTCTTTCCAACGAATTAGTGAATGATCTCAACCTTAGACTTGTCACTCTATGAGGGATTCCCCGCACCGAGCCTTATTTTAAAAATTGCGTGATATTTGTCGAGACCCCCCCTCTCTCCAACGTGAGATTAGATGAGATTTGACTCGACTCCCTCCCCCCCTTAAACATCTCACGTAATTTATGGACGCCCCCTAACTGGAACAAAAGAGCTTGTTTTTAAATTAATTTGGATTATTTATATTAGGCACGTATCAAATCTCACTTTGCACTTTTACAATAAGGGGGCGTCCATAAATTACGTGAGGTGTTTTTTCAAATTTTCTGACCCTCCCTCCCCCCCTGGTGACATGTCGTGAGATTTTATACAATCCCCTCCCCCATCCCCAAATCTCACGTGAGATTTTTCAAAATGTGGGTTTCTTATTTAAACACGTTGAAATTTTTTAATAAAAAGAAAAAAAAATAATTCGCTTCGTACTTCTTATTTACGACTAGTTAGAGACTAGTAATCAATATTGCTCTCATTCATCGAGTCACATGTTCAGCTGACAGTGGCGCGAAAACAAAGGACGAGCTACATTGTACCGTAAATTCAAATTAAATTGAGCTATTTGGTATAAAACGAGTATAGTGGTTTGACAATCAGGAGTGATGTATAATGTCAAAGTACGAATGAAATTATTTTCTTTCCAACGAATTAGTGAATGATCTCAACCTTAGACTTGTCACTCTATGAGGGATTCCCCGCACCGAGCCTTATTTTAAAAATTGCGTGATATTTGTCGAGACCCCCCCTCTCTCCAACGTGAGATTAGATGAGATTTGACTCGACTCCCTCCCCCCCTTAAACATCTCACGTAATTTATGGACGCCCCCTAATCGCAAATGGTTTCGTCATCATCATCATAAATCTGTTAATATCTCCACTGTTGGGCCACATATATTCCTCATGAGTGTAATAGAGAGAACAGTTCAGTTTCGCAGGCGAAGTGCGTATTGGTTAATGAGGAAGTATTTAAAAAAAACAAAAGCACTAAAAAAGTACCTCCACTAGATGGCGACTCTAGCAAAAGTTGATATTTACAGGAAATGAATGGACCATAGGCAGTCATTTCAAGAATCAAGAACGTACCGTAGCGACACCTAGTTTAATTTTGGGAACTAATATTTTTTTCAAATATTCAGTGGCAACCAATTGCTTAATATGCTTTCGAAGCAATTTTTTGATCACCCACTTGCTTAACCTCATCTCTGAACGCGGCAACCACTACGATATCGAACTCCTCGTCCTTAATCGTCTATCCTTCTCTAACTTATGTAATTTTAATATCATAAAATATAACAGAGCACATTGAAGTCACCGTTTATATCTAAAAGTGTCAGAGTGTAGCCCTAGGAGGCTCAAAACATAGCTCTTTAATAACTAAAATGGTTTCGTTACAATTCGTAGCGTTATTAAAATAATAGTTAATATCACTGGCCGCTGCACACATAGGCGCGTAGCCGGAAATTTTGGCACCAGTTGTTAACCACACCACACGGCGTAAGTGATGGAGAGGTCGGTCGATCACAAGGGGACTATTCTCAACGCAAATCTATTTACATAAGTGGTCGGAATTCACACAAATTATTAGCATTTCTTTTCCATACTTTGCACAAAATCTTAACACACTCCGTGTATTTCTTAAAAAAGGTTTCATAAATCTACTTTTGGTATTAACATATATCTAAGACATTCTGGTGGAAAGTATTAAGCAGAGACTAATCTTTTTAATAATTTTCTTAAAAACAAAGTATTTCCAAAACGTTCAATATAATTTCACCAAAGTCATTTTGCGGATTGCATATTTTACATGTAAACCAATCAAAAACCAACACACATACGTGATTTATTTTATCAGTATCTAAATTTGCAATATTATATCTATATAATATAATTATACGTTTAAATTCATAAAAGTACACCCCCAGTAGTGAATTGATAGACGTGGAGACTGGTTAGTCATAATGTCTGTCTGTCTGTCACGTGGTGCGTCGACTCGTAAACCGAGCAAAGTGCAACTGTTATTGCTAGCGGCTATTTACAAAATGTCTGTCGGAATTAGTCTTTGATGTCTTCATATATTAAGGTTCAATTTGCGTCTGACGTAAACCCATATCGTTGTCAACGGAATCACTATTACAAAATATTTCTCTTACAAATTGCAATTTTACAGTAGTCTTGTAATTTCATCATATTAGGGACACGCTAAATCATATAACTGACGTTAAAATTGAAGAAATCATTAACATATTTAAACTAAACATTTAGCTGGAAAGCACTGTTTTAATGCTTCTCATTATCTAAATATGTATGTTTGTATAGTGAATGTTATACAGCTTCATATTTCAAAGTCGCTACTGAGTTTTTCAATATTTCTAATACTCAAAGTATTATCAACAACCACTTTCTATTTGATGATACATTTTGATCACATCCATTGGCGTGATAGAAAACTGCAAATACTGATGACAGTTTCAGGGAAGAGATCTACGAGGTTAAACCAGAGGGATCCTTGGACATTTTCCCAATTCAGATAGAAGGAGATTAAGATTGGGTATTTGAACTACTGGGGGTAATCAACAAACCCTCTCACATTGTACGAATCTCTCTGTTTGTTCATTTGGAAGGGCACTGGAGGCAAAGGTAGAGAGAGAGTAGAAAATTCGATATCCTGTCAGATCTCCGAAATTGGGGTGTATCGTAGACTTTTAAATACATGTAAGACTCCATCAAGCAAAAAGAAAGATTAGTTGTTAGAAGAGTGTTTCCTTTAGATCAAAAAACACCCTAACAATAAAATACTGGTACCTAGACATACAACATTTATCTTCCAAAACAACAAGCTAGGTGTCATTTTATTTGATTCAAATGTGAAGAAATGAAGGTTATGAACCTTTGTTATACAATTTTTCAGATATTGCTTACCTTTATCCTTGTCTTCTTTGGTCCTGCTTTGATCGAAGAAGCCTGTGGTAAGGGCCTTCCTCTTTAGGAGATACGCTCTTCGCTTGGGCTTCGTTGATGGTGCTACCGCATTTTCTAGGAAAACAGTTTTCTATTAAACAACACTCATTCAAGTTATAGCATTTGTTCAGGGAAAAAAATGAATTCCATGTTTAAGAACTTTTCTATTCGATTAATTGTCGGACGTTCACTACTAACTAGATTATTTATACCTTACTATTTATCAAAAATGTTAAAGAGCATGAAATTTTCCAAATCGCATTCACTAAATACCACAGGGAGCTCAAGTGGCTTTTTTATCTATTTCCATCGGTCCACGATCAAAATATATGTAGATAGAAAATTCTAGGTGAGTAATTTTTTGATAGACGGCGTAGTACTCCATAAATAAATATCAGCAACAAACAAGCTGACGGGTAATCTAAGGTGGCAACACGACACTTGTTTTGATTGGAACATTACGGGCGAGCATGTTGTTCAACCACTTACTAACTATTATGAAATACATGTTAGATTAGTTGACTAGTTTGCTCTCATATTAAAACTTTACAAATTAAATAAACCTCTCCATTTCAGTGCACTCCTTTCTACAATTACATATATTAAACAACATCGCATACACTGCTCACATTCTAGGCAGCTAACGCCTTCATATAATGTAGTTACTGAAACAAAGGTACCACATTCAAATAAATTTCTACTATGACTTTACAATGATTTGAATCCCGTACTTCAGAAATGGCTACACCCTAAAATCAGCGTGCGAGCCACATGACTACTGATATACCGATTTCTGTAGAAATCATCGTATTTCTATGGTTCCTCATTATCTGTAAAAGCTGTTGTCTGTCAAATTTCTTTCTAGTTCGATCAGACGAGTATGGTTAATGAATTATTCAAAAATAACTTTAAGGAATTCTTCTACATTTCCCAATTGCAGCTAACATATTGTCATGCTATTCTAGTTAGCGTCGACAGCGCTATCACAGGATAAAAGTTCAATCAAATATAAACTCATTATTGAATTCTGTGATTGAATTCAAGTCTGTTTTTATTACAGAATATTAAAACAGGAATATAATATGTGTATCCATGTATTTTTATATATGTATCTATGCGTGAATTATTGTGTACAAATAAATCATTCGGAAATATTAGGCTAATGATGCTTTAACAAGACTACTATTTCTGAAAACCAGATTGCTTAAAATCCTAGTTGAATACACTTCCAGGTAATTGAAAGTTGGAAATTGGAAAACCCGATAAGATGATATCATTGTAATTTAATGATGTTTCATTAGCAAAGTGCGCGATTGTTTGTTCTAAGTAAGTAAAAATGACTAAGTACAGGTAAAGTATCATAGCCTCGAAATGACCAGACGTAAACAGTTGCATTCTCAGCAGTTAAACTAAGTGATAAATTCAAATAGTAATTTTGTACAAAACATAACATATATTTCATTGATTTGTTTTGTTTCTGTGAATTTAGAAACTATTAATTAATTTAAAATTTCAACTGCAGTAAAATTTTAGCGAAGCAAAACACAAAGTAAATAGGCGTAACAGCGGGCGCCGACAAAAATAATACCATCACTACGAAACTCATTAACATAATAAAGTTATTAAAAATCACTCGAGGCCAAAAAAAAATCATATATGACCGGTAATTTGCCCTAGCTTCTTTGAAATTTCACGATAAAGATATATTTTTTGTTAAGGCAGGAGAATTGCGGCTTCTGTATCAAAACCTGGTTCTCCAACCACTCGGACCTGCCCGAAAAACAAGATCAAATCTTAGTTGCTCTGCCTATTATAACTTGTTGCCCATTATAACTGAGCCCCTTTATTAAAGAAAGCCTGCGCCGTTTTACGATTCACACACACATTGCGTATTATTAAATAAAATTTAACAATATAATTTTAAAAAAATCACTGTAACTAACGCGGTAAGTTAAATAAAAGTTAGAGCTAGATATAGACAAAAATAATAAGCCCAGTCGTTTTTACTACACACGCTTAGACTTGAATCGGGTGTAAAATTAATAGGATCTTAAATTCATAACGCAAATTCAATTCGCTCACTCCACTCCACTGCCATCATCAACTACTGTCTAATTTTCAAATGCGATAACAACACTTGTTGAATCTGACGGGCATACGTCCCGCTGTGAACCAAATATGAATCCGCATAGTTGAATCACGCCAAAATAAATAATGTAAATAACCTAAAATATATATTACTACTAAATATACATTATGAATGCTTTCTGACTGGAAATAAATAAACACTTGAATGAGCACTAAATATACAAACACATCTTAAATTACAATGGAGAATTTACAGAGATAGACCTATGTACACTCATTGCACCCGCTGTATACTTTATCTATCTTTAGTATATTGTCATAATTATACTGACCTGACGGTTGACTGGATGATACATACTACTCAATCTAAAGTCAGAATTCCAAAATATATTAAGATAAAGACCAATCGTAATACATCCGATATGGCATCGAACCAAAACCCCTCTAACCATCACCTGCGTGGGAGAAAGTTTCCGAGATAGCGATCGATCCTATAAAAATATCAGATTCTGATTCAAATGCTGGCATCCCGACAAGCTGACTCATCAGATCGTCAAAACATCAGGTGTAGACCATTACAGCACAAGCACTTTAGTCATACAAGTGGCATTCTTAAACGTAATTCAGTTGGATTCAGTCTATTGATCAGAGGAGTAAATCAAGTGCTTCAGATTATCAACAGCTACGCAAAAGTGCTGATCTAGCTGACGTAATTTGACATTGGCATTTATCGAAAATTGCAGCAAAAATACTACATCTTAAGTGTGTATTAGTTATCTTCCAATAATCATTTTAAAATAACATTTTACCTTTTCAACAGACAATTTTGATCAATCTAGAAAACAGATCGGTTGATACCATCACATCCAAAGGCCGCCCTCGTCTGCCCTCAGTCTCGAGACATGTGGACGTATTTAAGACAACGCGGGCGCATGATCAACAAATATCTCACATTCCCAGCTATTTATAGAAAAACTGCGATTATTGTACATCTGTTTGGGCGCGTTGGTTGCTACGTGGAAACGTGCGAATATCTGTCGTAACCCATGTTTTTGTCGTTTGGGTTACGCGAAAAGTAGTCTACTTATACAATCACTAATCATATATTTCTTTAGGCTCTCTCTTTTTCTCACCATCATAAAGTCCATAAAGTCATGGTTGATGTCCCGTTTTGCTAACCAGAGATATATGCTAATAAGTACCACCACCTCTCAGTAGCAAAACATCCATATTTTTATAAAATGTTCACATGTCAGGTTTACACAACTTTATAACCAGAACGTAGATCAGACTTGCCTATCAAAATGAAGGAGTGGATAAAAGGGCCGGCCAAGCTGATATTCTCGCGCCCACCCACAAATTCTTTATCGAAAATAAAGACTCCGTAAGATCATGTGATCTCTAGAAACGCGTCGTAAATGTCACTTTTTGTAAACAGGGTGTTGCACGAGAGACGTCAGCGGAGACGTGGGTTGATGTCGTCGATTGTGTTTAACGCGATAACTTCCATATGTTACGTCAAACAATCAATGTAATGAAGTGAATGTCAATCTCTAAAATCATCAAATCATTATCTAATAATAATGTAATTTCACCTTGTTTCGATACAGAAGTATTTTTGTTATCAAGACTGATTAGCCTATTATCGATAACTAGCGCCAAACTTACATATAATATGCTTTAATTCTAATAGGATCTAGCATATCTGATGCAAATGTTACACCATTCAGTCTCCTGTCAGCTTATAATCAAATAATCGCTATATCAAAATTCATCGCACGCACACCCTGAATAGCCCGAGGGGAATCGTGACGTCACTTGCGTCACGCTTGCGTAACGAACGTATTTATTTAAGGCCGCCATTTTGAAAATAACCTGGCATTTCTCGCGTGTGTCAGATATTTATAGATTTACGTATTTACGAGTAGGTCATATGGGCTAATTTATTTAACTAATTAGTTAAACCGGCATGTTACAATTCTGATACTTTTCAAAATTATGCACAAAACTCGAGCTCCCCATTGTCTGTACATATTGTCATTTTGTTCAACTTTATTCGAATCTCTTATTCGAAAATTAATTGCACGAAACGAAAATCTTATTATAAACCTAAAATGTTGTTTTTGCGTTTCTTTCCGTAGAGTTCTTCACAGATTGAGTACATCACAAAAACACCACACGTACACTTCCGACTTAACAAATCATATATTTCTGAATTTTAACAAATTGCTAATATTTACAACTTTCGTTCACATGACATTATAAGTAAGAATACCCTCTCAAGAACATAACAACTCCACTACCTATACAACCACCATCCCTTCTAAGCGATTAAGTTATGTGAGACTCTTGTCTAACTGCTTGCCGTACCATTAGCCCTACACACTAAACATTCAGTGCTATAAGTCTTACGTGCGGTCCTCGCTTGGAGACCACATTAGACTCATCGTATTCCCATCCTCTTTGCGAGTCCTTTACGGCCACTATTGCGGATATCTCTGTACAATCGTTTACTTATAACGTAAAGCAAATAAATACTATTCACATGAATACGATCACTAATTAATATTAGAATATTATCACCTGCAAAAAATAAAGCGCTTTATTGAATTTAAATGGAGAAAATCAATAATTTTGCTTTAAAAACCAATTAGACCTATATTTGTCAACAACCACGATCTCCAATGACATTGGTTATTTATGAAAATGACTCCATAAAAATCCGACACTTTGTGGATTGCAGAGCATTGCTCGAGCGTGTTTGTGATATTAATAGAATATTGTTGTCACCAGATGATGATAATACCGTGCCATCACACGTGTTCTGAACTGCATTCTCGACATTTGATAATAAGATAGGGTTATAACCACGTCATGCCAGGTCTTAGATATTTGAAAAAATAATAGTTTTGTTGAAAATTCATACAGATAACTGCAGGTTGTTCATTGTCCATTACAACATCAATAAGTGGAACGATTACGTTTTATCCTAAAAAATCTTTGAAGAGCTATGTATTTTTTTACTGTGAAAATCTGACACTAAATATTTGATGCTATTAAATTACCTCTTTTTTTTAACTTATTATTTTCTAGTATTATTTTACAGCCTTTGCTCTTGCTAGTTATTGCTAATAGACAATACAAAATAAAGGATTGAAATAAAAGAACTATTTTATAATACATTTCAAATATGAAGTTTTAACAAATATCAGAAATACTTAGCATAACATTTAACCTATACCTAATACGACTGACGCATTGTTTGTCCGGACAATCACAGCCTAGCCATATAACAACTAAAAACTTTATATAGTTGGCATATGATTAATAATCATTACGAAAATTAGTCCCGCTAATGTAGTTTCACAAAATTATCGTTCATTCCCCTGAATGTGAAGAGTGATCCAAGACTAGAGTCGTTAAAATCAGTTGCGGCAGTAAAACCATTAGCAGGTCATTACAGATCTTCGGTTAATCTCTGAACTCAAACGTTATATTAGCTACTAGGATTTCATAGATCTTAAAATATGTAAATTAAGTTATCACATTGAGATTTTAAACAAATACCTTTTTCTGATGTAGGTACATCTACATAAAAATAATCTCATTTCAATGTAATATAGGTTTAAGATTACTATTTCAGATAGAAAATTATACTAGGAATAGTAAAAAAATCTTGTTTTAATAAGAAGTTGTGGGGATAAAAAATTGTTGGTCACCAATTAGTGACTAACCATCACATCCCCAAGGCACTAACAATTGCACCGCAAAGCTCTACTTGACATATATAACCGTTATCTTAGAACTTGAAAGTGATTTTTGAAATATTTTCACAATTAGTATTTTCTGCATGAATAGCAACCCTTGTCGAGTTTCTTGCTGGTTCTTCTCAATACATCTTTTCGGTAGATTTGCGAACCGATGGCGTAACTATTCAATATTTACAAGAGACAAATAAAGATTGAATAAATGATATTATGTTGAACTCACCTTCTGGAATCTTTATAGTTGTGCCGAGGTTGATCTGTTGCAGCCTCGCCAGCGCCGCCTGCTGCAGCGCCCGCCGCTCCACCTCGCTGAGGGTCAACAGCGAAGTGTCCGTCAGCCGCACGCAGCGCCCGCTGCCATCTGTCCAGCGACAACTGCCCTGCACATAACGCGTGACGTCATCCCACCGATAGTTGCACATATAAAGATGACTCAGGCTAGACCGTGTCAGGCCCGAGCCGAACGTCAGCGGTAGCACAGTCAACTAATCATATAAAGAGAAGCGATTTAATTGTTTGTTTGCATGTTTACGCTGCCAAAATACATTTAGTGACATAAGCAGTAATTTATGCGGGTGAAGTTGCGGAAAACAGCTAGTATTTCATAATTTGTATGGACACACTCTGTGCTCGCGCTATTTATCACCAGTCTCTAAATGTGGCATTAACGGGAAGTGCTGCAGGGGATCAAGCCTTTACTATGGATGAAATCTCATCAAATACAGATAATGGGCACCATATAGGCCCAGTGCGGATTATTGGGAGATAAATACGGCAGATGTAGCCGCGAACATAAGATATTTGGTCATCCATCCTATGGCCAACCCTTGCGAAAGTTGCTTAACTTCTACATCGCAGAATGAATGTGCTAACCACTGCGTTCGCCATCAAGTTCCTTGTTATAGGGAGCGAAAACTATGTAACGAGTGGTATATGTAATAGTAGTTTTCCGTGCTACAGCCGACGCTTGGCTCAGGCCTGACGCGATCTATTGTGAATATCTAACCCTATAATTTGTTCCTAGAACAAGCGAATAATGAACAATAACACAAAAAAAAATTCTCTCTATCGATTCTGTTTCGTAGATCTGAGTGATTGTCCATTTTTTGTCTGCCACAGGAACGGAGTATACAAATTAGCGTGAAAGATGACGTGGTGACCGATTTAAGATATACCGGTTATCAATGACACAACCATGCCCGCTTAGAATCGTTTCGAGTATTTTAACAACTGGGATTGAACTGGTTAGCAAAATTAGGGAGGAGTTTGGTACGTTGTCTCTTTGGAGATCCCAGTTTTTTCTGTACAAGGATTCGCGTGCTAGATTTACAAACTAATAGCATATATCTTTTATTTTCATCTGTACCTTTAACAGCAAAGACTAAATTGTAGACTGAACAAACTGATATAGTTTTGAGTAACCCAGAATGTTAATTAGCACATGTCAACATGTTAAACACGACTGTCTCTCATAAATTTATTATTAGAAATATTTCAAAATAGCCGGCATTTTAAATTAACATTAACGCCACCTGTAGTAAAAGTAGAAATCATTAATTCCGAGTCATGCAAAAGCATTCATCTAATTTAAACAGTCGTAAAAACTCAATGTAAGATCAAGGTCAACATTTATTGACAAGATGTCGAGGTTACTAACAAATCGTACATTATTATTTCGTAGTAATTTTCCGTTTATTTTTTAACTTTTCTTCTGAAGTGTTTTCGTATTACATACTTGTTTTAAGTCATAATTCTTTGGGACAGTCTGTAACATATCAGATTATATAAAAGTGCGAATATTCTCGAACCGACTTGAACCCTCAGTGACTTGCAATCCTAGTGAGGGTAATAAAAAAAATGTTATGATGATAATACTTTCCGATGATATCAGAGAGAGTCGTAAAGGTTAGGAGCTTATACATGTAAATTTCGTCTACTCGGACATGGGGAAATGTTTCTCCAAAATTTATTTATGAACAACGAGGGAAAATTTTAATATATCTTATGTAATTATGCAATTCGCTGATGGAAAAGGAAATTAACTTTTATTTACATAACTAAAAACGGATAACTGACTGAGATATTACGCACAGCCCAAACAATGAGGATTATAAAATTTAAATTTTACCATACTTCCTTTTATAGTGTATCATAGATTTCTGGAAATTCGTCCCTTAATAGGGTAAAAGTGGGTGAAGGGTGAGTTTGTACGTAACACCGTTAGTGATGTAACGAATATTCGCAGTCGCATATTTTGATTATTTGCATTCGCATTTTGCGAATAAGCCAATCGTTAATAAGACATAGACGAAAGGCGCCGAATTAAAAAACATGAACATTCGCATTCGCTACTATCGGTAGGAAATATTCATATTCGCCTTCGCAAATGTTAGAAAACTTATACTCGTTACATCACTATGGGCACATGTTAGTATTGATGGTAAATCGATAAAAATTTGAATGTATTTTTTTTAAGAAATTAAAACGAAGTATTTCTAAGAATTGGATCTCTAAGGAACAGAAATTCTTCTTCGGCTGGTATGGTCTATTTTTGTTTGACGTCAGATTTATTAGAAACTTTATAAACATTATTATAGTTAACACGACCGAAGTCGCGTGCATAAGATAGTAACATCAAAGAATTTACCTAAATCAAGTCCAACATCACTTATTTTATCATTTTGCCGAAGGCAATCATCATATCGACGAAGTAAAGTTAATTGATCCAAGCGACATTGTTTGACAATATTGAGTCATTTGGAATTGGCAAATGCTAATTCCAAATATACATAAAACTCAATATCGGAGAAAATTTAGCTTTAATCAATGAGCTTCGCGTCGATAGAATTTAAAATGGCTAATATTTCATAATACAATTAATATTGTTCACTTTCAACGTTATTAATATAAAAAAGCTAACCAGAAAGTTTGTTCGTTTCGCCTGTCACAATAATATAACAAAACTCGTGGACAGTGACTCATTGAGATTATAAAATATGTGTTTTGTCTCGCTCGCCGCCTACGAGTCGTTTATAATTTTCCAAGCCTGGGAAAGGCAGAGGAAAATGAAATGTTAAAACTCGCCGTTTGTATAAAACACTGTACTTTATTATACGCATCGTTTAGTCACTGTGTTGTAAAACTATTTGCATTCGGGATGACAATGGGTGAGGAATTTTTGAGATTTTTCCCGTTGGCAGCCAACAAATTTACAAAAGTGTATTTGCATAATACATTAAATTGCAGTCAATAAGATCGTGCTTTAATCCTATTTAGACTGGGTTGAGATTTTATTAACATGAAGTTTCTCACAAAAAATAACCAAATGCTTTTAATGGTCCAGTACGAGTACAAAACCTTTTCACTCATCAATTCAAATTACAAAGCGACCACTTGCTATAATCTCATCATATTATTTTTAACTAGCTTTCCGCCGGCGGCTTCGCCGCTTTTTAAGGGATGAAGGTTTATATGTATAATACAGGAGTATTATAAATATAAACCTTCTTCGTGAATTTCTCTGCATATCGATGAAAACCGTTGATAACGATGGATTCCGTGTCCAGAATAGTGAAGTAGCGTCAGCGTGGTCGGGGAGAAATGATACCAACTACCAGGTTGTAGACCTCTCTTTTAACTAAACAATCTTCGTCTTATATACTACTTAAATCTAACAAGGGATAACGTACCTTAACGTGATATGTAACTGCTAATGAAGTACATTTATCGAACGTGAATTATTTGCATATTAGTGCATTCCATCCAATGTTATAATATAATGTAATCGTTTATAATGTCATTCTTAATTTTAACTACTACAATAAACTGAGAAAATGGAGTAGAACATCGAAGTGTTGGCTTGAAAATTAGCAAATTCAAAACCATATTCTACGACTTCAGGGTTCAATGTTGTAAAATGGTTATATGGATCGAAATCTTAAGCACTGAATGAACGCGAGTTGGATGAAATGGCGTGACCTGCCGCCAAGAAATTCTTAAATTTCGAAGACCATTGCTAAACCTATTCTCTGGTTGTTCGGTGTTTTAAACAAGAAGCACACGAATTAAAACATTGAATGCGATGCTAGAGAGCAAACAAGTAGTAACACGCAAAAAAAAAAACATCTGCAGGGCGGAAAAACATTTTTCTTCGAATATAATATTTTTAACTGCATGTGACCTAATCAACTTAGTGTTACCATTTAAGTTACCATTGATGTTCAGATAACTATCTATTTTGATAAAGTTATTTTGTTTGAAAAATAATTCTGGGTTTTCGGATAAAAGACGAATTGATAGTGACAAAAAAATATAAGCAATAGACTATTTTGGTATGGATCATATGGACAATTAGACATATGTCATGAATAGACGAATTTAATGTAACAAAAAGGGTTTGAATATAAATGGGGGCGGGAATAATACGCTAAGGCGGGAATGTAAGGAAAAGGAAGACTGAAATATAAATAATAATATAATATAATCTAAATATATATAACTCAAAGGTGGCTGACTGACATAGTGATCTATCAATGCACAGTTCAAACCACTGGACGGATTGGGCTGAAATTTGGCATACAGGTAGATGTTATCACGTAGGCATCCGCTAAGAAAGAATTTTGATCAATTCTACCCCCGAGGGGATGAAATAGGGGATGAAAGTTTGTATGAAACTTTGTCAATTTTCGTATCACCTCTCACTGTTTAAACCTGGACTATGACAAAAATAACAAACTCAAAATAAGCTAAACAGTTCTAGCCGTTGTTGAGTTTTAGCGAGACAAAGGAACAACAATTGATTATATATAGATAGATTACGGCTACATCGACATTATTTCTTAGTACAAAACATATTCAAACTTTTTGCTGTACACGCTCTTTTAAAAAACCGAAAATAAAAATAATAAATATTAAAATTTAGTTTACAAAGCTCTACAAATGGTACCATTGTCGAACGCATACTAAGTGCAAAATTTTAATTTCAGTGTATATTGAACAAAAACAGGAAGCAAACAGTTAGCTGTGCCGCAGTACTAATGACCATTATTATTCTTGTGAGAACAATTATAGAACACGCTCGTCGCGAGCTGCCACAATTTAATTTCGTTTGCAAATTTATGTTGATACATAGTAAAATAAATTACCATAAAATTGGTAATTACGAAAACAATATGTTGTTTTAAAATTTCCTTGAACATTACACAGTTATTTATGGGTTGTAATAGAAAGTGTTATTTTAAATTAATAAATATTTTATAATAATGTAATAATACGAATGTTTCTAGTATATTGTTTGAAGGTAACTGCGCTTTTAATTGTAAAATGACTACCATATATATAATATACTGAACACGGAACCTGTAAAAATGAATAATTATTC